ATTTTAAGTTGTATTTATAGAATTTCATTCTTATATTGCATAAAATATATATAATTATACATATTTACAAAGATTTTTACAGTGAGATAAATTTGGAGATTATTTATTGGAAACTACAGTTATTAGCAGTATCTTTTAAAGAAATACTTGATTATTTATACTTGAATGATAGAATTTGCAGTTAACTTATAAATATGATTATAGTATATATAAAATATAAATAATACTTTAATATAATCTTAATTTTTGACAATAATTTTTTAAGATACCTTTTAATAATAATTAATTTTCAAGTTTGATTATAATGCTTATATAACTTAAATAATTTAATCAGTTAAACAGTTCTAGTGTTCTTTCATTACTACTTAATTTCAGTAAATTTTCATATAAGTAATTAAAATCTTTAATTATAAAAATGCTCATTGTTAGTTAATTACAAATTTAAATTCATTTTAATTTGTAATAAATTCAAACTCTTTATTATAAATGACACTGTTGATGTATTAATAAGAAATTAATTTTATATTAAATTATATTGGTTAAAGTTTGATAAAATGTAGATTAAGAAATAGATTGTTTTAAAATTTCAGTTTATTTAATTAATATTAATTAATTTTATTATTCAATGTAAATTTTTAGAACCTCCAATGTATACTATAAAACCTAAAGAAATGTATCAGAAAAGTGTTAATAAAGAAGTCAAAATGCCATGCGAAGGGATTGGACAGCCTAAGCCTTCAATAACGTGGAGAAAAGTAAGCATATAACCAGTAATAATAAGAGTTTGCATTAGGGAATTTATTAATTTCATATTTATTAATAAAAATAGCTACATAATTCAATTAAATAAAAAAGAATATTTTTCCATAAAATTTTAGCTATTAATTCATGTATATATATAAATTTTCATTAAATTTATTATAATTAAAACGTAATTTTTATTCACCGTCTAAAAATAAATAGATAAATTTAAATATTCTTTTTATAAAACTTAATGAAAAATGGCATAGTTTCACTAAATTTAACAATCAATTTTATATTTTATTAAACAATTCTCAGTGCTATACTTAAGAAAATGTCGAGCATTATCCTTACACTTTCTAGTAATTATTATAAATTATCTATTGCTGCCTTCATTTGAGAAAAGAGACAAGGTGTATTTCTCTTGAGCCTCCTATGAGTATTTAATCAAATAATGTGTGCTTTCTGGTTCCCAATTCACCATACACTTTTCATGCTTCATTAAGATTTTCCTTTCTCTCTGAATATAGTTGATGATATGGAGTAGTTCTTGTGCTTCATTAACTTGTCAAAATATGTGACTTCTGACAAAATAGATGTTGTTCTTATCATATTCATTTTCTTAAAAAATAAGACTAACTTTAATGTTAAATTGCAGTTATTAAAATTTTTTTTTTACAAAATTAAACAAAGTAATTTACAAGGCTGTTCAAACTGTCCACCACAGAGCAGACAATTATATAAATAAAAACAAATATATATATATAAATAAGTGTGTGTTGATGATGATTTAGATTTCTTGAATATTAACATTTTCAAGTTTTTTCCATACAGTATCAAACTGAATGCCTGATATTTTGCAATATTACAATCAGTTCTTTTCAGTTAGCAGTTATAAAATTGAATTTTTTTAGTAAAATAAATGAGTTTAATTTTCCTTTTATTAGATCTTTTGTTGATGTTTTGATATTTTTTCCTCAAATTACTTTGTTAAAACACTTGATTATAGATAACATCTGTCATTATTAATCAATCACACTTTTCAAAAATTTAAATAATAATTCAAAAATTGAAGATAAATTTAACATGATTCAGTTAATAATAATTTTTAATTGAACTGTGTTAAATAGTGATAATTAAATATAATTGTTTAACTAGAATATGTTAATGAAAAATAAAACATTTTAGTTAACAAAACATTATAACTAATCTAGATAACAAATTTACCTAGTAGCATTACTAACTATGCAGAAACAATAAGAATTTACAACCATAGTGTGATGAAATACTATTTTAATTATTTCTAATTATTCAATTATCAAAGCATTTTGATAGAATGCTGACACTTTATGCAATAATTTCTAAATATTAGACAATCAGTCTATAGATACTAGTAGTGTTTATCTCATTTGTTTTTTGAAATTTTAATTATTTGAAGAAATTTTTTTTACTTCTGTTCCTTACTGTGATGTAACATATAATCAATTGTTTTTGTTTATGATTTTTAAGGGTATTCCTGCAATTAATGTCAAACGACTGCCAGATTACATGAGACTATATTAATGCTATAATATAGTCAATGTAATCAAACAGTTGTTTGGCATTAATCTGAAAATCAGGTTTATAAGATGTTTATATTTATATTCCTACAATATTCATGTTTTAGTTAGGTTTGTTTAGTTCTTGCAGTTAGTCATAATTAGTATAGAATATAAATTACAAATTCATTTTACTCGCATGTGTCATTCTTGTATGTAGCGGTATATTTTTGTTCTTCAATTCAAGCTTGACAATGTCTGATGAAAGTAATCAAAAATGCTAGTTAATGTAATAAATCATATTACTCACACTTTTCCCAGCAGCAACACTTTAATATACAAACATTATTGGCTACATGTACAGTACTTAGTAGTAATTTCTTGATGGATTAAAGATAATTTTTACTTGTCATTCAGTTTCAATATATTTGTGTTCATTTAATAATTTCTTTATTTAATCAAACATAAAATTGTTACTTTTATAGAATAAGGAATAAATAAATTGGCCAATTTATAATGTATAATGTGAATAATGTATAGTATAATGTGATAAATTAATGTATAAATGTCAAATAGTATAATGTGTGAAATTAATTAATCAAATTAAAAGCATGATATTTAAATGATAGGCATATTGAGAAAAGTTAATATGAAAGAAAGATTGGAAGAAAATAGAATATATGTACAATGTACAAAATACATATGTACTTATTTATTTTACCAAAGTGTATAAGAAAATAAATAAATAAATAAACTTTTAAACTTTGTTTATATCTTATATTTCTTCACATGTAATTTGATTAACTGATATGACATATAACAACCAAAATATAAATCATATATGTAGTTCTTTTGAAGTTTTTAATGGAAGACCAATCCTATCTTGATAAATTAACTTTATGATTTTCAATTAATTTTTTTCCATATAAATTCTACTCAAGTTGTTGTGATTCAACCAGCTGCTTTATCCCATATGTGTATACTCTTTGTCATTTTTCTAGAACCATTTTTGTATTTTTGAAAAAGGAATGAAAATATTACATATAATCTTTTACATTCTTTTCCTCAAAGCAATTTTTTAATTATATTTAATTATTTTTATGGTGATGATTGAATACGTTAATGGTTTCTATGCCAGCAGAGAGGAGCAGTTAGATAGATTATTTGATTTAGATGAATTGGAACTAGCTGTATCACAATTGAAAAATAAAGCCATGCCTGGTATAGATTGTATACTTCCTGAAGTTTTTAAAAATCTACTCAAGACTCTGAAAACTAATTTTTTAAATTGATTTAATGGAATATTTTTAATTGAGATAATCCCAAATCTTGGAATATAATAATTTATAACATGATTTATAAAAACCAAAAATAATCCTGAAAACTACTGTCCAATTGCTCTGCTTGTTACTTCTTTAAAAATCTTTTCTTACATATTAAAATTGGGATTTGATATTGCTAATAAAGAAAAAAATTTTTACTCTTCCAACAATTTGCTTTTTGCAGAGGTAGAGGAACAATGAGTGCTATATTTGTATTAAGTACTTTAATTCCATTCATATTACAAATATTAAGAATTGACATTCACTGGTGTTCTTCACCTATCTATCTTAGGCTTATAATTTAGCCTAGTTAGTAAGCTAATTCTTATACTGATGAAAATGAGATTATCTGTTAAACTTGGGTGTTTATTGCAGTCTTCATTTTCTCAATTTAAGAAAGCTATCTCCCAGGATGATGATTTATCAAGTTTTTTTGTTCTACTAGGTAACCTACCACAGGACAATCCTTTGAGTTCATACCTTTTTGTCCTTTACATTTCAGACTTACAACCTAAGCTGTCTATATTTAATAACAATAATAATCAAATAGATCAATATAATATAATAGTGATCTGGCTTAGGTAGATCACATATCTATTTTGTCAGTGAATAAAATAAATTTATAGCATAAGATCAATTTGTTTCATAAATATCCTTTTGGAGAAAGATTTAAAAATTATCATAGATAAATCAAAAATGGCCATATTTCAGAAATGTAGTTTATTATGTAAGTGATAAATGGTTCATTGGTAATCAAAAAGTGGAAATTGTAAATGAATATAAATGTCTTTGAATCATTCATTCTTATAATACAGTAGTTTATTTAATAACTACTTTTGAGTCAATTTTAAAAATTATACCTAATTAAACAAGAATTTAATTGTTTTATTGATTTAAAGTAAAACAAATATCAGTTATTTTTAAATTAACTAAAGTTTGTATCTAAGTTCAGTCTTATATGATTCCAATATGAGGATCAAACTTCTTAGGTAAAATTCTTAGAGTTAAATTGATATTCATCTGTTACTTTTAAACTAGACCGTTCTGCCTCAGGTATGATATTAGGTTGGATTTAAACAGATCATGTCTTCCTCTTATAATTATAGATTCTTTATTTATTTGCTTGTTACAGTGACTTAACATTTGAAAAATAAGTTCAAGGATACAAATCTTATCATATCACTTTAAAAAGTTTATCATCTGCATGGGTCTTAGTCTATCATTAGTGTTAGAATCTGTCAATACTGTGTGCCATTTTACTTTAAAGTTTACTTAGATTGGTTAAAAAATTATTATTGGGATAAAAATTTAAAGTCTGTTGAATGTTCAAATTGTCACTCTTGATACAAGACTAGTTTGCTACATGGTGGTTTTTACTTAAGCTTCAAAACTTAATTGCAAAATTATTGATAAGTTATAATTTACGATTAAATAAAAGTATTTGAGATATAAACACCATATCATAATGTTTAATGAAAACAAATATATTTTTGTAATTGTGGAAGGTTTTCAATACCCCATTTGATTGTGTGATGATCGTTGGTTAATGGAAAAAAGACAAGGTGTTTGAACTCTTGATTTTGTTGTTCAAAACAAGTTAGAATTGTATTTGATATTACCAAAAAAAATGATGCACTTACTATTTTTTACATATAAGTATATCTTTATTAGTATGTTATAATGTGTACTAATAGCTAAACAGCAATGAATTTCAATTTGAATATTAAATGCACTTTTCATCTATAATGTGAACTTTATTCTAATTAAAGTGAACAAAGCAGAAAACATCTTAAGATATTTTAATTTTTCCATTTTCTCTAAACTTTTATTATGGTACTTCCCACTGTTTACATCCAAACTCGTCAGTTATATTTTTCAATTTTTATAACATGATTTGTTAAATTTTCTTTGTTTTGTATTTTGTAAATTTTTCTTTGTTCTTCCATTTACATGTAATTTATGCAACAAAACTCTGGAGGAAGAGTTAACTCTTAATTGTTTAAGTTAATACCAAATAATAAAGCTAAATATTATTGATATT